AATTGCCTGGGCTATTATATAGTTCTAGGTTGAAACAATAGAAAAATCCACACCAGTCTTCATTCAAGTGGAACTTGTTGGTTTTTGTTGTGTTGTTCTGAGTTGTATAATTCATTAGTATCCAAAACTTAAACCAGGTAAGTGTGCTCAAACGCAAGCAAAGTGAAAACAGATTTCCATGGGGCTCTGCTTCATATCCATTTACAGACTTTTAAGCACAACTCCAAAATGCCAGATAGCGATATCACCAAAGCGGCATCTGTCACCTTTCTGAAAAGCATCACCTTACCTAGCAGTTTTTCTGTTCTAACCTTTCTTTTTGGCAATGTTACCTAATTTGGTTGCCCCTACTTTCTGGAAATGCCTGTGTCTGAGTCTTGATGATGAAATATTTTTCACCTGTCTCTGATCTCTTTAGCAGGTGGTGCAATCTCAGAACTGTTATGAAGACATTCTGCTTTCCCTTCCTCTGTTCTTTCCATTGCTGGCACCATTAAGTGGAATATGGACAAAGTACTCAGTCAGATAATGGACTGACTTTAATACAGGAACCTGATTGCTCATGGATGCAGGGAGTGACTTTTATAAGAAGTGAATTATGGAAGAGGAAACCGCCTTCATTCCTTCTCTTCAGTCCCCTCTCCCCAAAATAGTGTACGCTATTGACTCAGGACAAAAGATTCACAAGGAAGCTAAGTGGAATGCCTCCTTGTTGACTTGCATAATGTTTCCCCAAGCAAATTGGTCACCACCACACTGCTTTTCTAGGCTGCACACCTGCTTTCGGTTTCTTTCCAATGTTTTACTTTGGGAACTGAAGAACACTGAACACTTTTTTCCCCAGAACCCTGTATCCTGTGCCAGTGTGCCCCATGCTCCATTTCATTTTGGTTACCTGTCTTTTAAGGAGTAAGCTGTTGTATTTTTATTCTTTATCTTCTGTGCTGCCTATGCTACCATACTGTGAACTGTATGGAAAACTGATATTTTCATGCACACACCTCCCCATTGCAGCACCATCACTGGTTGGTTGTCAGGATTTGATACCAGAAATCAGGACAGTCTCTGCAAAAAATGGGTACTTGTTATAGTGATAGATAGGAACTGAGGGCTGCCCCTTCTTTATGAGAGAATTGGAGAAGCGGGGAGGAGGAGGAGTAGAAACCAGAGTAGATAAAAGATCCAAGAAATTGTGTCCTGCTCTTAGGTTGACATGTAAAAGGTAGCATTTTGCTACTTCCTCTCTTTACCTGCGGTGATCGTTCTTTTTCTGTTAAGTCACATCAGATGCCCTGGCTTAGGGAGTTGGCTTTTGTTTTTGTAGATCTGTTCTGGCAACTGGAAAAGAAGTAGAAGCTATCATATATTTGAAAAGTCTTTGGGTATTCTATAGATAAGCAAGCTTTTATTTTCGGTATCCAACACCGTGAACAATAGCCCAGAAAAGTCCATCTTGGAACAATAAAACTAGCCCTTTTTGTCCCCCTGGTGTAATCTTTATGATGCTGTTTTTCTGGGTAAAGAGAACTGGCTGGAGTGTCTCCAAAATCAGCCAGGCTTATTCCTTAACACTTCCATGTTCATTGAATAAATGATATTCGTTCATCCGATTAATATGTAAGCAGCATTGCTAAATTAACTAACGAGTGGATTGGGCACTTGTTCTCATTTGCATTTCACCACACTAGTAGGCAGGAAAAATCCTTCTGCAAACTATTAATGATCCTTAAGGTAAAGGATACCCTACAAATGGCGCATCTGATCTTTCAGTGTGCTGAGTACCCTGAACTCACAGTGAACTCGATGGAGCTGAAGGTTCCTTATATGAAAGGATCAGACCCATGGAGGAATGGAGTATGCATAAATGAACAGCTAATTGAGCTCAATTTGCAGTTGAGTTGGCTTTTGTTTGGTTTGGGAGCGTAGTAATTTGTTTGACACTTATGCTGTTTTTATAAGGTCTAAAATGTTTAATACTTGTAACTGCAATACGGAGTGTCATCACCTCTTATGGTCTCACTTTGTAGGACAAAAGCTGGCAGCCTGGTGTGCTGGGGTGTTGTTATCTAATTCACAACACAGTTCATGCTTTTCTCTTGTAGCAGAGAAACATCAGGTTGCTAAGATGTATACAAGTGGCAGGAAAAATGAAGGTTGATCAGTATTTGCAGCAAGCAACCTTTTTTTCTCAGAAGTGGGTGGACTCCATACACCTGACTTGAAAGTTATCTTTTTTCAGTCCCCGAGTAGGAGAGCACCTATTCTGGCGGAAGTTTAGCAGATAGCATGTCATGGCGAAATGGGAACGCAGTCTTGTTCTCCATCCTTGCCTTCTCAGCAGCTTGCACCTGGTGTGTATCATGATGAGCAGCATGTATGCAACTGGTTTATAATAAAGTTTTCAGTCTTGTTACCTATCGTTTTTCAGACTACTTTAGACTTTCTGTGTAGCTACTTTCATTCATCTCATTTATCTTAGTGAATTCACCTCATGCTTCCCCTCTCCCTTTTAACTTTCAAAAGAGCAGGTATCTGTATTAGTTTGCAGTTGAATATACTTTAAGTAAAGCAGCCAGCAGCAGCATGGGTTTTAAACGTAGGCACTGAAGAAAGACTTTAAATCAGAAGCTTAGGAAAACAAACCAATCTTGGTGCATTTGTTCCTGAAGTGAAGGGCAGTGCATTAACCTGCTTCATCCAATGAAATTATTTTTTATTCCATCCTCACATACACTGTATTCATTTGCTTGCCCATCCTACTCTCTGGACAGCTCATATCTTTCATGCAAACCTATTTTGTCTAAACTACCCATCTGCAGTCTCTCTGAATCCATCACAGGCTGCACAGGCAAAGGCTCTGAAACCTGTTTTACAGCACCTGTATAACCACGGACGCCAGCCTTCACTTCTGTTAAAACTCCACTTCCCCCACCCGTTGTACAGTGTATATGGTTTTTTTTTTCTTCCGTCTTTTATTTCTGTGTCTGTAGTTTTGTATAAAATTGCTCGAGGCTGACTTGTTTGTAGTCATTTCTGAAATATAGCAGCGTTGTTAGCATCTGTGTTTGTAAATAAAGAGGTATGTTTTATTTCTTAAGCTTGGGGGTAATCTCTGCATTTCCTTTTTCTATTATTGTTTATGTTGTGGTAGCACTCGGAAGCCCCATTGTGATGGACGAACACAAGAGACTTCCTGTCCCAAAGGGGTTTGCAGTCGAGTGGGGGTTTTTTCATAATGAACTCGTTTTAAGAAACAAACACAAATCCCTAGCCTGAGAAAAGGTATCCTTGTTCTGCCCAGTGCAAACAGGTGTTTTAAATTTATGCTCCCCTCCATTTGTATGCAGTCCAAGTCTTCCAGGATGGAGAAGCAGAAACTGAAATAGGTCATAAGTAAAAAGTGAAACGAAAATGGGTTTGAGTGTTCAAGTACTCGGACAGCCTGCTGACTATAAACCGTGAGATGGAGACGGTAAGTAGCATTCAATAGCGAACGGTCATTTGGATTGTTTAAACATGCATTCAGTTTTGGTAGTCAAACTGTGTTAGTAAGAGAGATGCAGGTATTTTTTGATGATCTTATGGAAAATAGAAATGTTATTGTAATGTAATCGCAGGCAGTCCTGACCCTTTGTAAAACCCACGCCTGAACTGCTGGCCAGAAATAACCTTTATTTACTGCCCTGTTGTCGCAACAGCATATTGCTCTACCAAGAGTAAATACCGTGTTACTATCTCACAACATGCACTATTTGGCATTCTTATTGCACCTTTCCACGGAGACCATTCAAAATGCTTTGTAAATCATTGTTTTGGACCCCTCCGCTTCCTAAACACCTAAGCTTTGCCACGTTCACGTTGCATAAACTGAAACTTGAAGACTTGTGACTGTTGGCAGAACACATGTTGAGTCGGTAGTCGAATCTGGAACAGAACCTGGAGGACCGTATTCACAACTCAAGTAAATACTTCCTTGGATTTGAATTTAGGATGGTTTGTGCCCACATCTGCTCATGGTGAATCTGACCGTTCCCCCTGAGCCCCCTATCAGTTTTACCCTAATGCTGACACTTGGCTCAGATTAGGGCACTCTGGCTTTACTTAGCTCCGGATTTTAATATATTTCAGTCCTTCGGGAGTTTTCATCCAGCACCATTTAAGGTGCTTTCTTGGATGTGTGCAACATTCTGTGTTCAGTCATTCTACCTAATGAAACATGGGGTTATGACATCATAATAATTTCACAGCAGAATACCAGTGTCGCAGAACATCAGCTGAGCCATGGGAGGGAGGTCAAAAACTTGAGTCGGCCTTCCTTCATATACAAAATATCCAGTGTCCTTTTAGATAGAAGACAGCCTAAAACGTAAGTGATGGCGTTGACACGCTCCAATTTGCCTTAAACATCTGATGCTCTGATGACACTTGAGATCAAAAGGTTATCTTTATGATTTTGGAGAGCCGTGGCATGCTTTTAATTTTCACGGTACCAATACACACGGCAGTACTCCAAGCATAGATGGTATGTATAATTTTCCTTAAGTTTTATTGGCATTCAGTTGGAGTTTCAAGATTGTATTATGGACCTTGCCTTATGGTTTGGGGTTACAGCAATTCAGCAACAATATTATTTACAGCAAATGTTCTTTTAAAATGCCTTTTAAGTTGTTCCCTTTCCCTAAGAATTTATTTATTTATTTGGTCAAAGGGATGCTTGTTGCTAGAGTTTATTCTCTTCTAAATGGGCAAATAACGTAGAAATTAGAACCCATGGGGGGAACATCAGTCTGCCTATTAATAGGTGACATTTTCTTCAGCAGTGTCATACTTCAGTTCAAGCCTTTGATCTTGGAGGATTTTTTGTACCTGGGGAATTAGATCACAAAGCCAACTGAAATTTTAGAAATACTTGATTGAACCTTCATAAAGAATGATTTACCTTTGCTGGACTACTCAAAGCCAGTGGCTTAGACGTGGTCTATAAACTTGACTACTGTGCTATGAAGACCTCAAAAAGCAGCTTCATCCTTGGGACATTCACGTTTGCTTTCTGCCTGCCTTCGGCAGTTTCTCTCGAGACTGTTACCATCCCAGAGAAGCTCAAGTCAGCTATGGTTAAAGTCTCTGTCAGCACCACATCCTGCAGTGTCACCTGTGGGCTAGGCTTCAAGGTGGAGGAAATGTGTGAGATTGGTTCTGATGGGGAAAGGAGGCACTGTACCTTTCGCAGGTCAGACTGTCTGACCAGCTGGATCTGTGGATTACTCCACTTCACTGTTCGTGTTGGTAAACCATTTGAGCTTAGCTGCCTGACTTCTGAGATGATTGGCGTTGGTAGCCAGGCCTTTATCTACACCTGGAGGCTTGCCAGAGGCATTATCACCACAAATGACATGCTTTTCAAGTCTATCAAGACCCCTAGTTATGTCATCAAACTTTCCCCTGCCAAGGAATCTGATGCAGGGACTTACCGATGTGACGTGCAGCTGATGAAGACGTTCAAGCTGGTCAAGAGGATCTATTTTGGGCTCCGGGTGATCCCTACTGACTTAATAGAGCTGAACTTCTACAAATCCTTGACCCTGGAACAGAAACTTGCGGAATATAAAAAGGAAGGAAACGGAGGGAACGGCACCAGTTTCCTGTCACAATGGCAGCAGGACTCCTGGCAAAGAAGGGCCTCGTTTGTGTTCCTGGTAGGGATTGGAAGTGGGGTAACAGCAGGTATCTTGGTGGGTGCGGTCGTCTTCTTTTTGCTAAAGGCTCGCAGAAAAAACGAAGTCAGAGAGGGATGAGTTGCATTTAAATTTTGCTTACTTCAGAAGGATAGCTTAGTATTAGTATTTCATACTGCTGTTGGACTGGTTTCTTTTGGATAAATTTTGCTTTAGGTATTAAAGCAACAACATAATCTTGGATCATGGTGGCTTTTGGGTTCAAGAGCCTTAAGCAACATGGATCTTTCACTTTCAGGAGAGTCGATCAAGTTGAGTTGTCAAACCTTTTATTTTTCATCTGCCTTTACAATAGTTCACACGGACTCTGCCCAGGACTGGGGTTCACTGTGGCGTAGGCACTGTGCAAGCACAGAGTGAAGCAATCCTTCCACCAAAGAACTTCGAATCGAAACAAAGCCAACGGGGTAGGAGGGGAAATGGACATTAATATACATTTGATAATATATAATATTAACATTTGAAGCATACCACATGCATCCTTTGTGATCTCTCTAGGAAAACAGAGATGATACTTTATTGTAGAAAGAGCTGAATGTACAAGTAAATAAGTTCTCTGCAAAGCACAGTATGTAATCAGACTAAAATACCCTATGTACAACTTAATGGGTCCACTGATGCAGCGGAGTTGTGCCGGTGGACTAAGTGGAAGCTGAAACCTCGGAAATACTATTGCTTTGGTTACAGAGTTGAAGTAAATGACTGGCCATTACTACTTGGCTGAAATTTGTGATGGAAATTGAAGCCTACTCTACAGTCATATATTTGCAGCGGCGCTTCTGAGTCTAAAGAGCTCCTTATTTATAAGACAAGGGCCCGGGTTTATTTTGGAAAGTCACGAGTGCATTGTTACCAGGCTCAGGGAGAAATGGGGGTAAGTTTTCTTTAAAGCATTGGCAGCATTTCTCTTCTTGTGACTGAGGCTTTACAGCCTGGAAAACTAACGGTGGGGATAAATTTGAAGCTGTAGTTCCATGAGTATCGATACTTGGCTGTAGAACAGAGTATAAATAGTGAAGAGGAGGATTTCAGGGTAACCCATTGCTCTGGTACAAATGAAGGCAGGGAAGATTTAGGCTGAGTATCTGGAACGCCCTTTTCTGTGGCGTTTACATTTTGATATGATCTCTGGGAAATGGTGGGGGGGGGGGGGGGAAAAACCCCTGTGGCTTGACTGGAAAAAGCAGTAGGTAATAAACTGCAGAGGGTATGACCCTGTGTGCTTGGAAGGAGAATGGACACCCAGGACAGATTTATTTTCTATCAGTCAAAGTGCAGTGAGGATGCTGTTGGTGTTGGTGTTGGCGTGTGTACTGCTGAGGAGGCAGTGTGGTTTGGGCTCCGTGGTGGGGAAGTTTGTGCGTGAAGCATGTGGAGCTGATCACAGACTTGTTCTGCGCTTTCCTGAACCCTGTCTGATGTCCAGTCAGAAAAGTCATTTAGGACTCTACACTGTAGTGACTGACAACAAAGGGCTATACGTTGTTCTCCCGTCTAGAGACTTGGTCCCGTGGGTCAGCAGCTCCTGGATGGTGATCCAGTTGTCCAAGACTTTCCTACTCCTCCTCTTCATCAGCTTCTTCTGACTCAGTTCAATAATCCCTAGATCTTTTCTGCACATGGTCCCTGCTCCGTCTTCGGTCAGCTGTTCCATGCGGCTCTGCATCATGAATTCTTTTCTCTGCTTCTGCTCTTTGGACAGGAGCAGGTGTTGCCTCCTTTGAGCCTTGTTCCAGTACTTCCCAGTCTTCAGCTCGCTCAGGGCATCATCATCGGTGGTCATCCCACTGCGCTCCTCCGTGATCCTCAGGGCTCTGTCCTTCAGCAGTTGACTCTTATGCTGTTTCTTTAGCAGTGGCTTGCTCCTTTCATTTGGCAGCCTCCGCGTGCGTCCAGCATCTCCTGGGTTGCTCTCTGTGCCTTTGCTGCATTGCCCTGGAGGTGCTGATGACCTGGGTTGGTCGCTTAGGCACTCTACAGCTACCTTTTCCTGCACGAGGTTCATGTAGCTCATGTAACGGCGAGCATGATGTGGAATTGCAAGTGTTTTGGGGCCACTGGCAAAGCTTGTTGGTGGAAGGGAAGTGGCTTCTGTTTCCATCTGTCTTTGTCCTGATTTCCTCGCGTCTCCATTCACTGAGTCTCTTGGGCAGAGTTCAGCTCTGCAGTTCACCTCTTTCTTTGTATTTGCGGTGCTGTCTCCAGCCAGTGGGAGGCATTCTGGAGAAGATGGGCTCAAGGGGCGCTTGACAAGCCATTGCTCACGCTGTCTGCATTGCTCGGAGCCCTCCTCTTGGACTTCTGAAGCTCTTTGGTCTCTATGGAGAGCCTTATAAAACTGATATTGGTTGCACTTTCCTTCCAGGATTTCTTGAAACTTCCTGAACTCCTCTGGGTTTACGCCGCAGAAACTGGAATCGCTTGACTCCTCGTTGGATAACAAATCCTCTGTAGCTGGTCCACTTCTTTCAATTGTGTCAACAGCAAAATGGCCTGGGCCGGACCCCTTCGGGGCAGCGGGGTCTTCTGCTTCCACACTGGGTCCCGAATGCTCATCCAGCTGGGTGCTGCCGTCAGTGTAGCAGACTCCGCTGTCCCAGTCCTGGTGGAGCAGAAGCATCCGCTCATTTTGTTTCTGGCTTTCCTCCCCTTCGCTTTCTGTCTGCAAATGAATGCACAAATAGGTTTTAATTGTACTTAATGCAATTTTCCTTTATAGCCGAGCACGAGTCCCTCAGCCATCTATCAAATGTGGAAAACGCAGCACTCAATAATTACTGCAGATGAATTGCAATGCATTGTGCACTTCACAGGCGACGGAAGATTTCCTTGTCTAATGGATTGCATCAAGGAGAGTTAATGGTGTGAGTAGGGAGAGACAGGATCAAGGGAGTCTCCAGGCTAATTATACATTTTATTTGCTTCCTCGCATGTTTCCATAGACTTTCCCTTGTTTCTGTTTTAATTTTTTCCTCTAATTAAGCAGAATTTTGTTGAACCCTGGAGAGATCCTCAGAAGTACTTTCTTTTAAAACGCCATTTACTTTGGACGCTCCTGTTTCCATGAGGAATTGCATTGCATTGCACCGTAGATCTGTTCAAATCCCAGCCTTCCACCCAGCTCTGCCAACGCGCTTTGCTGCAACACTCTT